GTTAGTGATTCGGGTTAGTCAGTGTTAGTCAGTGATTAGGGTTAGTCAGTGAAAGTTAGTTATTAGGGTTAGTCAGTGATTAGGGTTAGTCAGTGAGAGTTAGTGATTAGGGTTAGTCAGTGATTGTCAGTGAGAGTTAGTGATTAGGGTTAGTCAGTGTTAGTCAGTGAGAGTTAGTGATTAGGGTTAGTCAGCAGTGATTCTTTCTCAGTCTGTGGCCTTTCATTCTCATGTGTGTCTGTAGATTATGAACTCGAAGCTTCCAGTATCTCATCTGCAGTTCAGATGCTTTAAAGGAACACAGTGTTTATGTGGGACGGATCCCCCCTTTGGTTTCTCCCAAGGAATCTTCCATACTGTCAAGGAGATTTTCCTTCCGCTGTCTCATCGCATGGGATTCACACTCATTTCTCACAGCGCTGTTCAAATACAGCAGCAATGAAGCACAAAGAGCCTCATGTTGTGTGTTGTAATTGATCACAGCATCATCAATCTCCTTCAATCTGATTCCTCTGAAACAACAGTTAGACGGAGAACTAAATAAACTAAATAAGCAAGCGCGTGTGTGTTTTGTGAATGAGCACGTTATGTTTATCTCTCCTGTGCTGAAGACTGACATGATGGAGACAAATATAGCTCAGCTCTCTCTGGGGAACTCTGGGCATCAGCTGCCTAGCAACCGTCACCACAACAACAGGAGGAAACCCAGCTGCGGTGAGTCAGCGATTCAACCTGTGTGTGTGTATTTGTATGTGTTTGTGAGTGTGTGTGTGTCCGCGAGTGTGTGTGTGTCCGCGAATGTGTGTATGTCCTGTTTTTAATTAAAGCTATTTCTTAATGTGGCCTCAATTTTCCGACAGGACAAGCAGGTGCATGTCGAAGTGATCAGTCAGTAAAAAAAACCACTGTGTTTACACACACAAACACAGTTTAATCAGCCTCATTCACGTCATGCTGGAATTAAAGTCCATCAAAATGTCACAAAATATGTCTGTATTCAGATGCATGAGAAGGGATCTGGAGCAACTTTACCACTTCACAAGGTGCATGGAAACAAACTGTCTACAAGAATGTGAAAAAGAATCCAGCACTACTTGTGATAAAGGGGACTTTAATACTTTAAAAGCACCAAAGCGTTTCGGCCTAAGAGCTTTCTTCAACACACATCATACACAGACATTCAAAAACACATCTCCATATTGCATTACTCGTTCATAAATTAGCAACAGCTGACAAGCTTAACTAAAGTCATCCCACTACTTAATTAGAGTTAACTATTCAAAAGAAACCACCATCACAGAAACTGTTGAAGAGAAAAATCCTCATTCATACCTTTTGGAAACAGACTTTTCTATACCTTCTGGTATTGAAAAGGTTAAACAGAATACAAGAGGTGGTAATATTGATTGTATAAAGAAGAAGCGGGAAGCCTTTCGGATCATTTATTTGAAAAGTCTCTAAAAAGTATGAATGAGGATTTTGTACATTAGATCAGTTCATGCATTCCTGGGAATTGAACCCGTGACCTTGGTGTTGCGAGTGTTGTGACCTACTGCTTGACTCTCTACACTCTTACTGCTACACTCTCACTCTTGCTGCAGCCTGGAACTGTACTGCTGGTTCGTCTGGTCAGAGGAGCACTGGCCCCCCGACTGAGCCTGGTTTCTCCCAAGGTTTTTTCTCCATTCTGTCACTGATGGAGTTTTGGTTCCTTGCCGCTGTCGCCTCTGGCTTGCTTAGTTGGGGACACTTCATTTCCAGCGTTATCGTTGACATGATTGCAAAGATACTATTTAAACTGAACTGGATGTTGACATCAATGAATTCAATGATGAACTGTCTTTAACTGAAAAATGAGTGTTTACTATTGTCCTTCTGCATTATTGACACACTATTTTCCTATTTGATACTGTAAAGCTGCTTTGACACAATCTGTATTGTTAAAAGCGCTATATAAATAAAGGTGACTTGACTTGAGCTGTAGGAATATGTCACACTTCACGATATTCACAGCACAGCACACAATGCAGGTCAAAAGCATGAAGTAGTTTAACACACGAGCCTGTAGTGATGAGGAATCAATGTGAATCCATCTGCATTATGAGCGTTGCTATAGCAACGAATCACAAATCAAGTCCAAGGACGTGAAGAGCTCAGACTGAATTCTGAATAATCGTCTCATAATTATGCTAATTCTGACATAAGACACGAACGCAGCTTCATGACACTCTAGTGAACTTCAGCACTGACTTCTGAGGAAACGTTATGAGTGAATCAGACACACACACACACACTCACTCACTCACACTCACACACGCTCACACAAACTCACTCACACACACACACACTCACACACACACACAACACACACACACACACACACACTCTCTCTCTCTCTCTCACACACTCACAGACACACTCTCTCACACACACACAGTCTCATCAGAAGGAATCCAGCTGATCTTGCAATTGAACATGCTGACTTCAAATTGCTCTTTGA